ACCCTCTTACCTACCGCGGCATGAACGACTTGGCGGAGACCGATTGTCCTCACCTGTGCTCTTCTCGAGGTCTTGTATAGCATGCACGACTATGTCGTCACAATCAGCAACATCCATAGTACCAGCATGGCCAGGAAGAGCATTGAGGAAGTCCAATCCGAATGATGTAGATCCTCTGAGACGAGAGGATGATCGGAGAGTATAGTGCGCAAAGAATGTATCACCTATAGTTGGGCAATACAACAGCAAAGCCTGCCTGCAGCAGATAAGCCACCTCTCCAACGAATGCATTAGCACTAAAACTATGAGGGCCGCCGTGCAATCTGGCGACTAACTGCTCATTCCATACAGCAGGGGTTACCAATAGGCCAGTGCAGGACTCCCCTTGCACGAGTGAGATGGTGGGGGGTGATCCACCCTAAGGGGATTGGAGGCCTCCAACAATCAAGTAACCGATGATAAGAGCATCCCATCCTACATTCCATGACACTCGAGGTGATGCCATGACCTCGATACAGTCCGATTCTGGATCGGCAATACTCACGGATGATATACATGGACGATCGACCAAGCTTTGAGTCATGACCAGAGCACGGCTACCCTTGCCCTCAGAAGCCCCAACGTCTAGAAGGGTACAGGAGCCTGATAGACCATCGGCTAACTGACCATCTCTACCAGGCCTGATACAGTACGGCAATACACAAGTACTAGGACAGTGGTTCTTACCAAATGCTCCTCAATATCCTTCCTGAATCAACATCGATCACGAAAGTCCTGTATGCACCTTGGCTTTGAGTTGTCAATACAACTTGCTTATTTTCAGCGTTAGGTATCCAACGTATGAGTGACCGACTTTCCTCGTGTAGATGCAGGAATAGGCCTGATAGCCTATAAGACCCGAAGCCGATCCACCATATAGTGTACCTTTCCAGGTATCATCTCCCATTATTGGCACCTCGTGGAAAGCCAAACTATTGGGATCAAGCACATATAACTCCATAGCAGTGATGTGAGTTGTGAAGCGATTTCGAGCCCCGACAAAGACCACTCGCTCACCTGAATGATCAAAATACATATATCAAGGCGACGCATATGATCACCATCTGGTGAAGGATTGGGGCCTATAGCCATGTATAAGTCTTGAGTGATGAGTCTGGGTGTGATTGTATGAGCCGCGAAGTCTTCTATGTAGTATATACTGCTAGGACGATTAAAGCATACTGACAAGCCCTCCCTTGCTAATGGTGTTGGACCAGTGTGATACACTGTCAGGAATAGTCCTCTACCTTTTCTACTGAAGGTAGCATACCTATAAGGCTTAGTTACCAATAACAAAAAGGCTATAGAGCTACCCAAGGGTCTTATCCCCCATAAACTGGGATCCAAGCTGATGGTTGATGTCAATGAACTCGTCATCTTCAATTGAGTATATGTAGATGCAGGGCTCTTTGATATTAGTCAACTTCTCTCCAAAGTTTGGCTTATATCGAAATCGCGATAGGGGCGTAAGCTGAGGAGCATTCTTGTCAACGTTGCCTGATAGCAATGGTGTAGTAATGCGTTAAGGGCAGATAATTGAGGTATGACATGGCAAACGGACACATGTCTGCCTTCTAGCTCACCTGCATCCCCATCAACTTCGTTAAGGGATGATTCCTTGGTGCTCCACCAAGTCTTTGGATACTTGGGAGGACGACGTTCCCCAGGAATGAGAACATATGAGGTACCATATACAATAAGCTCACCAAAGGGACCACCATTGCGAACCTCTACAATATCATCTGGTAGTCGCCTCCTAACCAACTGCTGCTGGCTATTGTCATACACTTCCAAAAACAAGCTGCTACCACTGGTCCCATTAGCAGGCTCCTTAGATTCAGCACCAGCTACAATTCGTGCTTCACAGGAACAGCCATCACTACCGAAAGCCCGAGCCTTCACTCGTTCATCCACAGGGATATCCGGCAACACTAGAGTATCGTCTTTTCCATAATCCTCACGAAACACGATATGACGGCAGAATTTCCGAGGCTCGAATTCTTCGAGATCTGGCCGGGAAAAGAATATTGTTGCCGCTGAAGTGCTCCCAACAACAAAGTTAGCAGATATAACCGATACACTACTGGACAGGATGCTCTTCACTATCCCAGCTGCTTTCTTCTCTACCTTGGCTGTCGGAGAAAAACTCTGGAAGGACATTAATCAATAAAATCACACCAAAACTAGTAGTAATAATAACCCTCTATATTGAAGTATACTACTCAAGAGCATCATAAGATAGCAGTGACTGAAACTACCATCATATCCATTATCATGTGCGGCTATTGCTTATCATCGATTAGCCTCCATTACTGCTGCTGGTATACTAACCTTGACGATCTCATCGTCATCGAGCCACAGTGTAACTTGATCACCATCTAAGATATGTACACCACTGACCACCAGAATAGCTCATTCGGTCATCCTCAACCTACTCTTTAAGAGTTTGCTTGCCTCCTTGACGTATCTTTGAGGGAGCTCTTGTTGATTGAACTGATCATCTTGGACGAAGAATACCTTCTCATCATTATCCCAGTAAAGGATCTGGCAGGCTTGCTTCTCAATCTTCACAACTAAGGTATACATGATGAACTACCACAACACCACAAGTAAGATACTACCATTAAACTTAGCTGTAGTACTGCCCTTCCATCTCTCTGGCTTGTTAGAGGTTAGGTTAGTATACTCGAGCTGATAGAGAATAATTACTACATCATAGTAACCAGTATTAATACGAGTCCAATTACCGAAACATGTGCTGCTTGTCTGCCTTGCTTTACTTGTCTAACATTGTTGATTTCCCAATACTCAGCAGGGCCATCCTCCTTCCACTTCTGCTTTATAATAGAACCCTTATCGATCTCGTTAGCTGGGGTAACAACAGTCGCAAAGGCCCGTGATAAAGGAGCCATGCACTGTATACAGGCACTAGATCGGCTGCCGAATGCTCTAATCAAAACACTCATGATCAAGTATAAGAAACAGGCCTGACAGGATTACAATACGCGACAACACCTTAATCACAACGAGCGACGAACACGACGACGGAACTCTACCCAAGGGAAGTAATACTGAACGAAGACGATAAACAAACCCAGCCGGTCTTTCCTAGCAATGAACTTAGCGCGTGAAGGAAAGAGAGTGTATCAAAATTCGATGATCAAATCTTGGTGTAGCAGAAGTGGCACTATTCACAGTTAGGCGGAGCGGAGCGACGCACGTTCTGCTATTTTCAAGTTGAATATGAGAGTGTACCCCGAAACGACGTCGATGGGTAATACAATCGATAATAGAGCATAACCGAAGCATTAGTGTGATTAATAACACAAGATTGTTCCAATGAGATGAAATGGATGCAAACAGGAGGTGGCTAATACAGGTGGAATAATTATTCATCATGTTTATAGAGTCGTCATCTCCGCCGAGCTCTCTTTCCCCTAGCAGGGCCTGCTGCTGTTCTACTACGGTGACCTCCTCCAGCATTATCGACATCATCAGGCTCCTCAACATCATAGTTAACACACTTATCGGCATCCAACAAACGAATACCGTATCTAGTCAACACAAGTAATGGGAGGGATGTCCATCCAACCTAGTGTAACACTTCTTTCTATCTTTCTTCCTCTTCTTTAGTCCCCGAGCCTCCTCGCTCAATTGACTTGAATTGGCAGCCCCTTGCTCAGCATCATCATCTTCATGTGCATCGGGAGAGTCGGGCTATAATAACAAGATCATCACTAACGAGCACAGATAGCGTCCCTCGACCTACACTCGTCCCAGACTTATCGAATATGTCCATGTTACCATTGTTGGTGAGGATCAGTGCTGATAGGAATAATCTGAAGGAGTGTTAGCAACAATAGTATCGTCATTATCATCATATACTGGAGTACCTTCCAACATTCCAGGCAGGCTCACCCTGCAGGATATCATCTAGAGTTGCAGATGGAAGTGGACTGTCATCATCATCATCATCATCATCCTCGGCATCGAGGATTTGAGCATTCTCATCATTATTGTGCCCCTGTGATCTCGACATCTGGTAGATGAACAAGGTTACCATAATAATAATCACAGTCACCAGCCTACACCGTGGCCCTCTGCAATTCTCTCATTAGATGTCTTCACCTTTTCTATAACATCCCTGAATACATCCACTAGTGTGGTACATCATAACGATACCCCATTACTTGGTATAGGACTCCAACGTGAAAGGTGGCCTATTATCTTGTTCCTCAAGGAGGGGTTCTACCTATATATAGCACTACTCTACATCCAAGCATATCACCCTCCCATCACCTGATCCTGCCATTTACGGACTTTAGCGTAGATGTTCTGAGCATTCCGTTCCAAGTCACGATTGAGCAGATCGACTCCCGTACGACTACGCGAAATATCATCACGAGCACAAGCATAGTGTGATAGAGGTCTCACGCTTCGCCAGGAGAGTTTGGTCCACCACCACCACCATCAGCTGTATCATTCCCCGCCTGGAACTCCTTCAATAAATACTTTTGGATTATCTGAAGATAGGCTCATGACCAGGACCAATAACAACCACGCCAATATACGCTAGCATATTCTTCCTGTTGTCGTAACAGATCTCGAAACTGAGCTTCCTTAGCAATATCAGCAGCTGCTCTAGCAGCTGTTGTCCCTGAGCGCATTACAGTACATGGTTGTCATGCCTACTTAACGCTACCTGTATCACCCCCTCTCCTAACAGGTAACATCGCTGAATACTCAGTACTGACATTATTAGCATCAATGCTTCCCAGAGATAGTCTAGAAGGATCCCCTCCATGGGGTGCTGGGCTTAGACCAGGCTGAAACGAATGATATGCTCAACAACGGGCCAATCACCCTACCGATCGGGCTGATACCACACTCCGCCGATCAATGTGGCTGACTTCATTGTTGTTATCATCGTCGGAATCTATGCTATGTTAATGCTGCATAAGAAGATGCCTAACCCATCCCCACCTGATGATTCCCCTCCCTCATCTATCCTGGGTGGGGGCTTTTCCTCTCTTCTCTCTGCCTCGGTAACCACCTACGAAGATGTGTCCTACCAGGGTAACCCCAAGAGTAACTTTACGTCCCGAGTAGCCTTGAGTAAATGTAGTGCTTCTAGCCTTTCAATCGACGCTCGTTCGTTCCATTGTCGCACAACCTTCCTACACTCCTTACGCTGTTTTGACACCTATAATTGGGCAGCATACAGCCTTGTTGATACAACGTCAGGACCGATACTTGTTGTGCAAGCTTGTTCTCAATGCTACTAGCCTCGGGATATTCTCCCATCGTTTGCCACACTAATGCAGGCCTCTCAGTACTAGAAGGCAGTATCGAATCCTCTGCGATATCCAGGTTCATCGCCGCTCTCCCTAACACTCGCATTGTTAGTTTAATAATGATGATGAGGATGCCTCACGTCCATTAGACAGCTTTATGGTGAGGACTGAATGTGTCTTCAACGGTACAGGTTTGCCCAATTTCCCTATCTTCATACTCCTGACATCAGATAGTAAGCAAGGCATCACTAGAGACCTCTTGTATGTTGGCAGGCATCTCTCACTTTTGAGGCTTGTTGCCAGGGTTTACATATGGATCCAGCAGAGTCCATTGACCCTAAGATACCAAGTATAGAATAACTCTCTAGACTAACCTGGTACCTCATCGTCATCGTCATCCTCATCCATTTCCTCCACTACTGCCACAGAGTTATCACTGCCCACATTGTGGTGACCTTGGGCTGCTAGATCGAGAGTTGCTGATGATAAGATGAGCCATGATGGGCGAGTGAGTGTACCATTGAGAGTAGTGGTATCAGCAGTAGGAGGGACATCAGCTGGGACCATATCCGCATCATTCTGAGCGGTATCGTACCCATGACCATGATCAGCAAAGGAAGCATCGTCCTAAGGGAGAGAGATGTACAGCGAGACCCAACACAGAGCGACTATCCACCTGCATTGTATGGTCAGTGATAGATGAGTATCCCTCTTGAGGGAGATTATCATCTTCATGACTGTCGCCTGGGGATATACCAGGGGCCTCAATAACGGCTTGGGTTGGTGGGGGTGGTAGAGGGGCTGCATCTTCTGCTCCATCACGAGGATTCCCTGTAATAATGGGAGCCTATAGGAGTCTACCATGCTATTCTCATGATCACCAGAATGTTCCTGTAATATGAGATACTCCTCCTGATTGGTATAACATCTCCCTTCTAAGTCCGGCAGTAGCACGGCCATATTATAAGGATTCACAGTACCTCACAGTCTAGCGATAAGTCTACTAATACGATGATACACCCACAACATACAGGAGCTAACCTTATACTCAGGCCTCTTCCGATCTCCCTCTTCTCGTGGTACCTAAGTTCCTCTCCTCCAGGACTGGCCGCCATAGACTAGACTAAGCTCACCAAGAAGAGCGGTACACGATGGACAAAGCTATGATTAGTATTCATCTTATTGCCAGCTTTCAACATATTCAATTGACCCTCTGGTGCACGCGTAATCTTAGAGTCTAGGAGCTCACAGCCATCCCCATCATCAAAGATCCCCAGCTTCTTCCCTATGAAAGGCTAGTGACTTCAGACAGCAGTGGAGAGAGAACCTACGTATCTTTCGGGCCTCCTTGCATCTTCTCGTCTTTTGCCCACCCTCGACCAAGAAGCTCCATAGTCTCATACATTTTGAGATATAGGCTATCAATCTAATGATGCTGCCTATAATCCTTTCCAATAGATATTTTTTCCTTCTCACCTTCCTAGCATATACAGCAGCACTATGGTATAGGCCGATGGCTGCCTGGGCAAAGTTGATGGGATGGGGATTATCATTTTCTCCTATATATCATTGATACAGTCCCTCTAAACTCCCCATGCCACATACCATCCTCATCATCATCATCCTCAAACAGCTCTACCTTCAGCTTCTCCAAACACTCTACCTGCCACCGAGACGGTCGGATGGCCCCGTGTGATCGCCACTATCGTACAATATCGATTTCCCAAGCCTTGGCTGAATCCTTAGGAAGGTCTCCAAGTAGAGGATTCGCCTCCTTGGCCCTTCCTGGCGGCCCCCGTCTAGCCGATGGCATTATATTGATCCAGCCAACAACTACGACCGTAGCATTGGCTTGTGAAGAGGAGGAAGCGAGTACAACATGATTCTCTCCAGTAATGGTAGTGTTAAGCCCAGAGTGTACTCCCAGTCTTTCCTATATCCTACGATCATCATCCAATATTCAACAGTAACTAACCAAAGGTGCACAAGGTGGAAATATCAGCAACTATCATCTATTGCGAAACACTCTTCATCATATACCATCACTTCTTAGGAGTATCGAAATGGACACCGTTCAAGTCGGCGATATACCGAGAAAGGTAGGGGTCGACCAGGGAGCTTTGACTCAGAGATGTGTCTACAGGAATCCCTGACATGGACATAATCAACATGGAGAAGGGCAGGTTCGAATAATATCACCTTTCAGAGTGTCAACTTGTAAAAACTGTGGTTTATGGATAGCAGCATCCAATGCCTGATTGAGAGGCTTCTTAGTCACAGATAGGTCCATACCCAAGGCGGCACCAGCACGATAGGTGGCTGATGATACCTACGATAAGGCAGCAGTCACTATCATTGAGGGTATGGTGATCAGCTATAATGTATACCTGATAGACCTGTACTCCCTTAGCCGCCAATGGTATACGCTTGAATACAGCTGCCCCGGACATGATGATAAGAAGAAGAGACAGAGTAACAAACATGAGAGTAGTGTATACCGACTCAACACAAGGGGTCGATACTAGGAATAGAGAAACGTTATGGCCATTGTCGCTGCTGCAACTAGTGTCGTAGTGATATATTACAGGAAGAGGTATTCAATGGTATGCACTTAAATATTACCCTCTGCCTTTCTTAGAGACATATTCAGGGCAGGGTCTTGAAATAGTTCATCACGGGTGTCATGCAACCCAAGTAGATCATTGTTACCAGTAGTTACATTCGTATTACCCGGAGTATTCACTTCACTGGCCCCCACATCATTATCGTCGCCCTCCTCACTGCTGGTAGTAGTGTCAGGGTTCTTCACTACCTTACTAACGGGAGTAGATCCCACCATGGGAATCGCCTTGAAACCATCACCGAGATCAACAACACCTTCAGCAGTCTTATCATCAGCACCAACATCAAGTAAGTCCTCAGTATGTCCTATATTAGCATCATCGTCTTTACTGTCCACAATATGGCACTTCTCTTCGTCCACTACCACTCTAGAACCATCCTTAGCCAACCGTACAACGATGAGGGGAGGATTAAGCGTACGATCTAGAGATATAACTGTGGCAGCACCTCGTCCATCAACCACGATATCGATGCCAGGGCCCAGTACTCTGGGGCCCTCACTACTAGGCAATGACGACGACGATTCGTCATCGGAATGCTCGGCACCTCCATGTTCCAAAACCGACGCGAATTGACGACCGTTTTGCTGCCGGTACTGCTCCAAGAAGCCACCAGTTGAAGTTATAGGCTGCTGGTCGCATATTGCCATATTTGGTGGTAGAGTTATGTTTGCAGGGCCCCCGGTGATAGCACGAGGTGGAGGAGGAGGAGGAGGAGGAGCACTACCAGCTAACATATCCCGCATCCATCCAGCTGCTGTCTCCAGACCGTCTGCTACTAGATCAGCAGCATCAAGGGTTGCATCCCGTAGGGTGCCTACAGCTCCCTTCTCTCGATAGTCCAGCACGACGTCCTAAACAAGTTGATGATGTGATATGAAAGCATATGAAGAAGCAAATCGTCAACGGTGAGCGTGGGTTGAAGGAAGTGTCCTCCGAGTACTACATAGATAGCATCACCGACGTAATCTGCTGCACCCTGCAGGGCTGTACTGGCTACTGATGGGCTGGTGGTGTTACCAGTCGGGGCTGACCCAAAGCCTTGAATCCTCTCTTGTAAGGACTGTGTGGCATTATCGATATCATCGCCCTGAAATATGGTTACTACTCATCGAATCATCAGACATGAACGGTATCACCTGATTGAAGGTTATGTCCCATACAGCAGTAGCAGTATCCCTAACTAGACGGTAGGGTTCATCGCCATAGGTAGGACTAGGAGGCCCAGTGAATTGAGTAGCCTGCTCTATCACAGCAGCATAGGATCGCAACTGTATGCGGAATGGGGGTACTCTATTGGCCAAGTGTTTCATGCACAATAACGCCTTCAGTTTTACATGAGCATGATCACCAGCAACACACTGAGCCAAGTAGGCAGCCACATCAGGGACCCCTTGGGGATTCTCTCTGATGTTGGTAATGAGATCATTGAAGGCATAACCAGGAGTAGGTTTATTATCCGTATTAGTAGCATATCGGATAAGCTCCCAATCTATCATATTGTGTTAACAGCCGCAGATAGTGCGACTCGTGAAAACCAACTAAGAACTGGATTATAGAAACGGATCGGTACAACTCAAGAGTGGAGTTTACTCAACCAAACATCGTGACAAGAAAACGAAGGGAGTTCGACAAAAATGTCTTTCGCGAGTCGCTTCGCTCCGTCTGGAATTCAGCATGCGGTGCGCTTTCAAATTTTCAACAAGTTGCGCACTGCTGAACTAGCTCGTTGTCATCCCTGATGCCGTGAAGTCTTTGCAACGTATGAATGTATCCTGGAATTGCCCGAGATTCCGGGGGGTCTACGAAGGTCGAGATAAGCCGAAACGGCTATCTCATGAACCCCATCCACTCTAGAAGCCGTTGGAAAATGGGGATACCACTGCCATACATATGCTGTTCGAAACCTGGCTCCGCCTTTGGGGAGGCCTCGCTGTCCATGTCAGACTTCGCTCGGCTGTATTGTTGAGCTTTGGAGTATTGGGTCAATAAGGTCACTATCCGCAGTAGATAGAACTCCACGTGTCTGGGGACTGTTCGGTTTGTCTTCCAGGAAGGCCCCTTGTTATGGTGGGCATATTGTGGTGTTAGCTGGTGGATTTATTTATATTTAATGGAAGACTGCCAGAAGAGGCTCATACCGGACACTTACTTGATAGTAGATCCACTTGTTGATAAAGTGTAATGCCAGGCAGGGGGAGTCAATTGTTCGAACTTGCCTCAGGTACTCTAAGTTGAAACTTGAGCACCCTAACAGCCCAGTATCGGCTAAGAAACATCTCCCTGAAGATGAGCTTAGAGACGCGGCATTCCTGGATGCCGTCCAAACCTCAGTAGTGGCTGGAGTGGTGACTTACTCACTGTGACACCTGCCTCCAAGGTTAACAAGTGGATATCAGACATAGGTCGAGTGATCAAGCTACAACATGATAGACTTGCCTCTCCATCTGGTGGTACACCTGATGATGCCGGATCTGTCGCAATTAGGGAGGTTAATTTCTTCATAGCGGTTGAGGCCAACCTGCTAAGTGTCAGAAAGCAGCTGGAAGATCCTATGGTAGGCTTTTATTAGACCATCACCACCTCACTCGGTATCATGTCAGCTCAGGTCCAATTCGCATTGGAGGCTTTGAGGATTGGTCGAAGATTCCTCTCAACTGTTTCCTTTGAGGCACACGTGGAGCTGCCAGACAATCTCGAGCTGGTCCAGTCCAGTTTATTGTTGCTAAGGGACCTTCCAATTCATGCTCTACTTAATGCTACTACTGTGGAGGAAATATCGGAGGCTGTGGAGGGCCTATTTAATCATATGAGGCGGAATTTGCGGAAGGCTAGGCGGTATCCTGTCTATAGGGCGGCAGTGCTTATGGAAGATGTATC